TGGTTTTGTCCCCGTTGCTGGTTCTGGTAGGAACTGTGTGACAGCATCTCATCCTGATTTGGTTTGTTGTAATCACTGAAACAGCTGGTTTTATAGCTGGGTTTACACTGACAGACCAGCTGAGAGAGGAGTGGAGCTGTGCCTCTTTTTTGGGGTTCTTTTCAGCCCCCTGTCCTGTGCTGAAGCCCTGCAGATATTTTGTATCACCAGGGTAAGGAGTGAGCTGGTCCCTGTTCAGGCTGTTGCTCCTCAGCAGTTCCCTCATCTGAGCTGAGCTGGAATTCCCTGGTGTGAGCCCTGGGATTGCAGCCATGGATCCCTTCTCTGGGGGCAGGAGGAGGGGGAAACAAGTGCTTCTTCCTGGTGTCTGTGAGGTGGGAATCCTGTTTGCTCTGATATATTAAATTCAGCTCCATTTAGGAGCTGATGCACTGTGTGAGGTGGGTTTTATGGCACTTCCAAACTCCTCATGGAAACGCTGTAATAGTTGGGTAATATTTAATTAGTGATGGTTTATTATTGTTACAGTGATTACTTTGTTACAAACCAGCAGGGAATAATTTCATCCTTGTTCCTGGTGTTTAAGTTCCCTGTTTAGCATCTTAACCTGTTCAATAAGCAGGTCTGCCTGATGTTCCTTCTGAATTAATATAATTGTGAAATCAATTATTCCTCACCTGAGTCTGTTCTGCCCAGGGGAGCACAGTGAACATGAACATCATGGGATGGGTCTACTCAAGAGTTCAAGATCTCCTGGGTTACACTGGTCCCAGCACTCTGGGCTTGGCTCTGATGATAGGTCAGTAATATTTTTTGATTTTGGCTTCCTGAATTTGCCCTGCATGCATGTTGATGGTTTATTAACCACTTGAAAGTAGGACAAGTATATTTGAGACTGGGGAGAGCAATTCAAATACTGTTCTATCCATGTTTCCTGTTCTTGTGCTGAGTGTGTGGTTACTGCAGCTGTTAAAATGCTGTGGGATTTCTGTGGTTGCCAAATTCAAGTTTGTGCCTCATGGAGATAAAACATTTCACGTGCTTTGAGCGAGGGACAGACTTGAAAAAAATGTTGTGAGGGGGATTAGATCTTGTGTGTGAAAGTGGGATTTCAAAACCCTGGTGTTGGGAATAAGGCCTGGCTTTGTTTCTGTTGTGTTCTGTGCAGCTCAGGAGCTTGCCTGTGCTGAGTGGGTGTGGTGGTAATGTTTTCAATAAAATAAATGTAGCTGCACATCTCTGCTCCAAGGCAGGTGTCTGTCACGTGGGAGGGTTCAGTTTTACACCTTGTTCTTGGAGCTGTTCAGGTGCTGAGCCTTGCACATGAGACAAGCTGGGGTTAAACTTTACCTGTCTAACAAAAACTACACAATTTGGGCTTGAAAGCCAAATTACACTCGAGCTGTCAACTGACCATGTGGGGTTTCCCTCTTGCAGGGGGTGTAACCTGTCTCTTCTCCCTGACCTGTGCATTAATCCTGGCTTACCTGGACAGGAGAGCAGAGAAACTGCTTTGTAAAGAGCAAGGGAAAACAGGTGAGTGGTGGGGCTGGACCTGCCCTGGGCTTCAGTCTTCTGGAGCAGCCCCTTCCAGTTCCTCTGCACTCTGCAGGTTTGCATTTGGGGTAATCCATGGCTGCTGCTGAACATCTTCACTGTTATAATCATCATTTTTAGTTCATTTTTAACATCTTCACTGTTGTAATTTTTAGTTCATTTTTAACATCTTCACTGTTATAATCATAATTTTTAGTTCATTTTTAACATCTTCACTGTTATAATTTCTAGTTCATTTTTAACATTTTCACTGTTATAATTTTTAGTTCATTTTTAACATCTTCACTGTTATAATTTCTAGTTCATTTTTAACATCTTCACTGTTATAATTTCTAGTTCATTTTTAACATCTTCACTGTTATAATTTTTAGTTNATCTTCACTGTTATAATCATAATTTTTAGTTCATTTTTAACATCTTCACTGTTATAATTTCTAGTTCATTTTTAACATTTTCACTGTTATAATTTCTAGTTCATTTTTAACATCTTCACTGTTATAATTTCTAGTTCATTTTTAACATCTTCACTGTTATAATTTTTAATTCACTTTTATGTCAGCGGGAAGTTTTACAGTTTTAAACAGCAGTTTAACAGGCAGAAGTGCTGTCATCTGCTTTATTTATAAAAACCAAAGTTCACCCTGCTTGATCTGTTGTGCCATTGCCCCTGCTCCTTAGTTTTGGTGGGTTTGACCTTATTTCTTTTATAGGTGTGGAAAAACATGGAGCCCTTTTGTGTCAGTGTGTGTGGTGGTTTGACTTTTCCGTGTGGGACAATTTAGAGCATTTAAAGAAACCCTAAATTTGAGATCCAGCTAGTAATTTGAGTTTGAATCCCAGACTAGTTTGGGTTGGGAGGGACCTTTAAAGCTCATCTCCTTCCACCCCGTACCCTGGGCAGGGACACCTTCCACAGCCCAGCTTGCTCCAAACCTCATCCAACCTGGATAAGGCTCCAGACAGGAGTTTTGGCAGCTGATCAAACATTTCCTTGACAAAGTATATTTAATTCTGCTGCATAAGACTTTCAGAGGTTTATCAGTTGGGGAGAGACAATTTGTTCTTGGCTTTGGCTCTGTTGACTGAACACTTGTGTGTGAAGTGATTCCCACTGTGTAAACTGGGACAGGAGGGTGACAGGGATGTGCTTTAGCAGGGACTTGGGATCACCTGAGTGTTTATTAAGTGTGGATAATCCCAGATTTTGCCTGTGCTGGGTGACACAGTGTTGTCTCTTGCAGGTGAAGTGATCAAGCTCACGGATGTGAAGGATTTCTCCTTGTCCTTGTGGCTCATATTTGTCATCTGTGTCTGTTACTATGCAGCAGTTTTTCCTTTCATAGGGCTTGGAAAGTAAGTGCCTCTCACTTATCCAGCCATTCCCCTGGAATCTGGGCAGACTTTTAACTAATTCCTTAAAAACTTGACATTTTTCTGCTGAGCTTTGTGGGAAATGCCATTGCTGAACTCAAAAGCTTGAGGAATGTTTTATTTCCTGATTAAAACTAGACCCAGATTTAAAACATGGTGTGAGTTTGGGGTGGAATTGGGTGTCCTGTGGAATTCCTTCTGTAGTTACAAGCTCATGTCTCATTATTTGGGTTCCATGTTGGTTTTGTACTTTGGTTGTTTTCCTCAAAGTGTCATTTCTATGGTCCTTACACGAAAATGTGTGGAGTCTGCTAAAAAGCTCCTAAATTCCTTATAAATGACAATCTGTGATATTTATGTCAAAGCTGTATTTAATTGTCTTGTAAACTAGGTTCTCATGTCTTTGTCTATCTTAATATTTATTTCTTGTCCTTCAATTGTGCATTTTCCTAAATCTTTTTTTTTTCTTCCTTCAGGGTTTTCTTTATTGAGAAATTCAGCTTCTCACCTCAAGAAGCAAGTGCAATTAACAGGTATGTTGGGGTTGATTTGAGCTGATTTAATAAGTAACACTGCCACTTTCTAGGGGTGCAGGATGGATCTTTGGGCCCTGAGCAGTGGGAGGAGGTTTGGGATCTCCTGGTGCATTTAAGTGGATAAATAGATTTCCCATGGCCCAGGGAATAACTCAGAGGTGTGGGTATGTTTTTCTTGAAAAGTCTTAGATGTTCACACTGGAAAGAAAAAACTCTTTCTGAAGGGTTTTATTTTGGTATTTAGTGATTCTCTTCTGAGTAATAAAAGCAGTTTAATAACAACACTAAATTTTTGTAGTTTGAGGATGAATTTGTGATGTGACAAAACTCCAAAAAGAAAACACTTGCTGCTGTGTGATTCCCAGAGCTCTGAGGATGTCACTCTTTCCTTGGATGCTGAGTGTTTTCATGTGCTCAGACCTTTTGGGAATTCAGAATTCCCAGTTGGTTGTTTGGGATTTTTTTTGGTGTTTTTTTTTTTTTTTCTTATGGCCTCACATGTAGCAAGGGAATTTGGTATTTTCTCTGGAAACACTTGTATCACATAACACCTGGAGCTGCCATGACCAGAGAGTGCTCAGCTCTTTAATCTGTGTTTTTCTAGCATTGTGTACATCATCTCAGCCCCCATGTCCCCAGTCTTTGGCCTTCTGGTGGATAAACTTGGCAAGAACATCATCTGGGTTTTGTGTGCTGTGATAACCACACTGGCCTCTCACATCATGTTGGCTTTTACCTTCTGGAACCCCTGGATAGCAATGGTAACTGTTTCTTGGAGATTTATAGCTAAATGTGATAAAGCAAGCTGTGGAGTTGCTGCTGAATTATTGTGTGTGTTTTGAAGTGGAAAAGACTCCTTACTCTGTAACTAAATCACTGTGCTACATGCTCAGTTTTCTCCTAAAACTTGCTATTTTATTATATTTCTGAAGCTTATTAATATTATTTAAACTGCCCCTGTGCTGTATTGGATCTGGCAAACCTCAACAGAAATCTTCATTACTGATTTCCCCTTCCTAGGGCAGCTTCCCTGAAAAATTGCTTGTGAATTGAGGTTTATGGTGCTCACCAGTGTCAGGGTTTAAAAACAGGGTCTTTGCTTTATCAGCCGTTTTTAAGGAGTTGCAGCATTAATCTTTTCCACTTTAATGCTAATTAATAGAGTCTTTAATGCTAATTAATAGTTTAGTTTGTGGGTCGAAGTTTTCTCTCCTTCTAAACGTGCATGTTTATTCAGAGTGATGTTATAAGAAGTGTTGCTTGAGCTCTGCTTTTCACTTTTGGGAGAAGGGGAAGACCAATATGTTAATTTATGAGCACTTTGCAGCAGAAATGCATCTCATGTGACCCGTGTTTATTGTCCCTGTGTCCCCAGTGTCTGCTGGGAGTGTCCTATTCCCTGCTGGCCTGTGCCCTGTGGCCCATGGTGGCCTTCGTTGTCCCTGAGCACCAGCTGGGAACTGCCTATGGCTTGTGAGTACCTGAACTGGGGGGTCTGTGCCACTGGGGGAGTCCAGAGGGGCACCAAGATCCCAGAGGGATGGAGAACCCTGAGGGAAGGCTGGGAGAATTGGGATTGTTCAGCCTGGAAAAGGAGAGCTTCAGGGTGACCTGGTTGTGACCTTCCAGGACCTGAAGAAGCTCCAAGAAAGATGGAGAGAGACTGTTTACAAGGGAGGGAGTGACAGGACAACAGGGAATGGCTTCAAACTGCCAGAGGACAGGGTTAGGTGGGATATTGGGAAGGAATTCCTGGCTGGGAGGGTTGAGAGGCCCTGGCACAGGTTGCCCAGAGAAGCTGTGGCTGCCCTTGGATCCCTGAGAGTATCCAAGGCCAGGTTGGAGCACCCTGTGCTAGTGGAAGGTGTCCCTGCCCGTGGCAGGGGGGTTACACCAGATAACCTTTAAATTCCCTTCCCACCCAACCCATTCCATGATTCCCTGCAGTGACCCTGCCCCTGTACTGCTGAGCCAGGGAATATCCAGCAGTTGTGACACATCAGTGTGTCCCAGTTCCCCCAGTTTGCTGCAGTTCAGGAAGTCTGGTGCAGTTCAGGATGTGGGGGTGGGAGAGGCACAGAAACTTCTGCAAAACTGTGCAGTCAGGACTGTCACGTGCCAGACAAATGGGGGGAAGTTCATCTCCTTGGTAGTTCAGGGCCACCAAGGATTTTTCCCTAAAAAAATAAATCTCCCCCAAGTGCTGACCAAGCTGTGTTTGTGTTCAGCATGCAGTCCATCCAGAACCTGGGGCTGGCAGTGATTGCCATAGCAGCTGGAATGATCCTGGACACAAGAGGATACTTGTTTCTGGAAGTTTTCTTCAGTGCTTGTGTTTGCTGTAAGTATTAAACACTTTGAAAACAGATCCTGTGCATTCAGGAGGCTTTATTAAGCTTTATTTATTAATATTTCCTATAAACCAGTAATAACTCCTCTCTTAAAGTTTCAGCTGGGGCAATGGTGAAAGTAACTCAAACTTAGTAAAGTGTTTTGTGGTTTATTGAAGTGACCTGGTGTAATAGTTTGTGTTTCAAAAAAATGTAGTAAAAGGGTAGACAAATAATACTTCCAAAGCTTATGTTTGTGGTGGCTGTTTATTAATGTAACTAAAACTAAAATAATCCTTTCTGAATTACCAGATTCAGTGGGAATTTCAAAAGTAATTAAGAGATGCTGGTGAAAAAACCTCCTCTTGGTTACAACTATAGTGAAAAATTTTAGTTGTTACTTGGGTGTAGGTTAAAGCTGTTCCTCTGTCCTTGTTGTACAGTTACTGTCAGCTAAAACTGTTCCTTTTCTGTTCCAGTGTCACTGATAGCTGTGGTCGTGCTGTATTTTGTGAATCACCTCACAGGTGAGTGTTTGCAGCTGCTTTTGGCATCTTTAATCATAATTCTGGAAGTTCTCAAGAGTACCTGTCCCTTGGGCTCACTTGGACACTTTAAACTTTGGAATTCTGTGGAGGATACTCTGCAGGTTTTTCTTTATTAGGAAAAAATCTCTATTTTTTTTTTCTGATCAAACTTGACTGTACCTGAATCTGTGAAGATAAAAACTGAGCTCTTTCCTTAGTTTGGGTCCTGACTTTGCTTCCTCACATGATTAAGAACGTGCTGCTCTTTCTCTTTACCTCAATTTATACTTTTGTAATATCACTCCCCTGATTCCTGCAGTGCTCTGAGAACCCCTGGAGTGAGTTTTGATATCCAGGCTACCAAAACCGAGCAGTTTGAAAGGTTTCAAGGTGCACATTTCTCCTGTTGCAGGTGGTGACCTCAACTGGTCTGCAAAGAAAAGGGAAAAACTGCAAAAAGCAGCTGCCTCTGAGTAAGTGTCAAACCCAACAGATATCAGTGGCCTTATGAAATGTTTAACCTGAGGAGGTGAAGTAGATCCCTGTCTGAAGTCAGTCCCTTTTGCTGTTGGGATTGGATGTTATTTTCCTTCTCACCAGCCAGTAGCAGGATTTCACATTCCTGCCTCCTGTGAAGGAACATTTAGAGGAAGTGGCAGTAATCAGGTGTCCTTTCCTGGCACTCTTCCTTGCTGTTTTCCTTTATTTCAGTGGCCTTACAACTGAAATGGGTTGAAAAAATGTTGTATTTCTTGTTTAAAACTGTGCTTCATGTCTGTGGTGGGTACCTGAGCCAGCCAGCAGCAAACATCACCTGCCTTTAGTGTCAGGTTTAGCACAGACCAGTTTTAAAAGTGGCATCAAAAACTGGATCTCCCTTTAGAAGAAATGACAAAGCTGATCCCATCCATGGAATTCCAGCTGGTTGGATGAGAAGAACATGGGATTTTTCTTTTGAAATGCTTTCTGTTCTGCCCTAATTCACCTCAGCAGGTCTCAGATCTTGAAGCTGATTTACTTTAATGTTGTTGGAATTCCTTACTTTTCAATAGGTAACTACAGCTCACCTGCAGATATTGTACCTCACACAGTTTATATGTGTTTATATAATATATATATTATGTTTGGTATGTTATTATATATGTTATATTTGTCCCTGATTAATACTTTGCTAACAAGACAATGGATTTATGGACTTCTCTAAAACTGGACTGTGTAACTGTCCATATGGTGATACTTTAGTTAATCCCAAAAATCCCAAAGGAAGGTCTATCCAGGTGACTTGTGGGCTTTACCAGGGTTTTGTTTCTTGTTCTTTTCACACACCAATCTCAGGGAAAACTCAGGAAAACTAAAACCTGCTGAGTTTTCCAGCTTAGTTGTCGTGAGTCTCATCCTCCAGCCAAAAGCTCCCAGCCAGTTTTTTAATACAAATCCAACAAAAATCCCCCAAAGCTTGGAATTCTGTGTCCAAACAGAGCTGCTTCCCACCCTGCCTGGCCCAGGTAGGGTGTGTGTGCAACAGCTCCAATGATTTCCTGGGAGTGCTGTGGGATTTACTGCCTTGGAACACAGTGTTGTCAGGACTCTCCAGCACTGAATTTTCTTGGTTTTCTTGATAAATACTTCCTTTTTTTCAGAAAAGAAAGTTGAATAGCAAATGGCATCCTGGAGTGGGGAACACTGCTCAGCTCCATGGCAACTGGAAGAGTGCCAGTGTTTAGTGTGCACCCTGCACATAGTTCTGGGGGAAGATTATCCACCCTCTGGGGGGGGGTTACATCAAATGCCTCAGGTTTTTAAGCTTTGTAACCAGTTTTAACTAATGCCAAATCATCTTTTAATTGGGTTTAGAGCCTTTTGCACTGTTGAAGCTCTGCCTTGGTGCTCTGCCATCCAAGACAAACACATTCATCTTAGGACATTTTCTGTCAGACTTTCTGTGCTGCACATGTTGGTGGGGGGGAGATTTCTTCATAAAATGTTATTTTTCGTTGTGGTGAAGCTCATCCAGAGCTTGGAAACAGGTCACTGTTGCTGCTTTTGTCACTGTCTTAATGCAAACCACTGTCTGAAGTGTATTTACAGCTTGGGGTCTGGTTCTCCTTAACACTCACGTGGAACAAGAGCTACAAATGCTCTGGTCAAACTGCCTTTTTTTTTTTGTAGGAGATTTAAGAACTCTGCAGGCTGCTGAGCAGTCTCTTATTGCCTTCTTGACAATTGATTCTGTTTGTATTGTAATCTTTATTTCAAGGGGTGAAACTTGTTTAATAGCCAGTAAAAGCTGTTACAGAAGCTCACTGAGCACGTTGTAATCTGGGAAAAAAAATCAGAAGGTTTCTCTTTCTACTGAAATCTTGGAGTCTGAATAAAAGGAAACTGCAGAAAACAGCCTCTCTCTTTCTTTATGTGGAATTGGAGTTACCCAGACACATCTCAGTGTCATTTAATCTGATATTTAGATTAAAAATAGGTATTAAAAATAAACCTGCGTCCACCAGGGGTTTGCACTGCCAGTGCAAATGTCTTAAACCAGTTTTCTTTTCCAGAGCAGAAGAACAGGAGAGACTCAGACGTCAGAATGAAGATGACTTGGCTAAATTACTGCCAAAAGCTGATGACTTTAGTTTAAGGAATAAATACCTCTCCAGACTGGGAGCTCAGGTATCAATAACGCAGCAGAGGGCTTAGAAAGGAGGATAGAACAATGAGATCTTTATTTTAAGAACTTGGATGTTGTTTCTAAGAGCCAGCAAATCACCCTCTCCCTGCAATCCAGAAATAATAGTAATTAAACACCTCATGAAGGGAATGAACCAATGGCTGGCCAAGCAAATAAGCTGAGGAGCAACTTCTCGTGATCCATGATGTCTTAATTTTATTGTTTTGCAGCTCCCAGATAATTACTCCTCCTATTTATCCACCCTGGCCCACAGAAGCGTGTTGAAATAGCAGCTTGTCCCTGTGGAAAATCAGGAATGCATCGAATTTCCTGGGACACAACAACCCCCAGCAGGAGCAGGACGATGCTCCTGTGCCTTGCTGCAAGACTAGAGCCTAGTTTTAAACACCCAGCTTAAATCCTCCTTGCACTGGGGGTAATTAGCAGAGACCCTGATGAGGAACCATCTGGCTCTTTGCTGGAAGCCCTGAGAACCTCCTGCACCTCCTGTCTGTGAGCAGCAGCCAAGGCTGCACCTCTCTGGGGTCAGAAATGTGAAAATCTGATGGAACTGCTGTGAGGTGAGCCCTGGTGGAGCTGGGGCTTGTTCAGCCTCTCACCTGGGACACCTTTGCTGCTCCTGGAAATGCTCTGGTTGGTTTTTCCTGTAGAAAAACCGGAGGAAAAACTCCCAGGAGAATATTTGAGAGGAAACTCCACAATGCAGGATTCCAGTTGAGGAAGAGCTACCCCTAGCAATAACCTCATGTGAGTCCTGAATAATGTGAAAACTGCTGGATTTTTAAGAGGCTCTGCCTAAAAACCTGTGAAAAGAGTGAAATGCAAGAACTGAATTTTGCTTCCAGGAGGAAAAGTTTCCAGTTTCGTGGTGAAACTCAGCCCTTTCCCATAGTTTCAGTGGAGGGCTCAGTGCTGAGCAGGGAGTTCCTGGGAGCTCCTCCAGGGTGCATTTTGCTTGGGTTTTAATTACTCATCAAGGTAATTGGATAAGCTATTCCTAAACTGAGCTGATCTTGCCTTAAAAAGCAAGAGTGTGTGGCTTTGTGGAGCACAAGGTGTGCAGGGATGTGTTCCTTGGCTGATTCCAGCCACAAACTGCTCAGGAACCTTTGGCAAATTGTTTGACTGCAGAGAAAATAGTTAGAGGTAATAAAAATGTTACTTTATGTGTAGAATATGTGTTTCTTTTCCTGCAGTAATTTAAGCAGACCTGGAATTCGTGGCCTTAAGATTTTGTTTTAAGAGACTTTTCAGTGGAGATTCTTTCACGTTCCTTAAAAACTAAAATCACCTCCCTTGAAGGACTAAACCAGGAGTATTTTTGGTTGATAATTCTGGATTCTGAGGGACAATTTAGGAAAACAAACAGCAGGTTGTGAACTTGCTGCTTGTGGGGAGTGGTGCCCTGACCTGGGCTGGTTTGTACTGGTGCTTTCTGGGCTCCCCCTGAGACCTGACCTCTGACAGCTCTGATGTGGCTGGGACAGGTTGCTTTGTTTCCCTGGAGACTTGGGAATTCTGGGTCTTTTTTAATAAAAACTTGAAGTGGACACTGGCACCTGTGTTTTTTGGACTGTTCAGGGGTGGGTTGTTGCCTTTGGTGGTTGGTGAGACCCACACAGGGATTTTCTGAGCAAACCCAACTCCTGCTTCCCCTGAGAGTGTGCAGAGTTTGAGGGAAGTGGATCTTTGAGAACCAAAGGGAAAGGTTCCCCCACTGATGGGTTGATGCAATTTTCTTGGAGAAGGTGGGAATTAATTTAATTAATTTCTTGTTTTTCTGTTGCTCTTCATCTCCCCGTTCCTAATTCTGAGTGTGGTTGTAGAACCCCTCTGGTGTCACCTGCAGGTTGGTGTTTCACATGTGACACAGCAGAAACCCTGGACTTAATGTTTCATTGAGCTTTATTTTCAGTTCCTAGGTTCTGTTCCCTTGAGCATCCTGCTAAAATCCTGGGGTGGACTTCTGCAAATGGGGGAACTTCCCATGTGAGCTGCAAACCCCCTCCAGGCATGATCTGAGTGTGGAAAAGGGGTTTAGCCCTCCCTGGGTAGTGATGCAAATATTTTACTGATATTACATATCTCAGAATCTCCTTTTCTTTGGAATTATTGCACCACTTTCTTCATAATCTGCTTTATGGATTAACTGGGAGCCAGTGCCCAAATGGCTGGGGAGCACTTTTGGAAGTTAAGGGAGGTGGCTGAGATCGTGGCTGGGGGGACAGAGGTGGGAAGGGACATTTATCCCAACAGATATTCCCGTTTTCTGGGATATCTGTCACTAGAGGTCAGCACTGCAACGCTGCTGGGCAGGAAATGTTTTCTGGGTTGGGATAAAGAGCCTTCAAGGATCCAACTGCTGTTGTTCTTCTGGCACTTCCTTACATGACTTGGCCCTGGCACAGAGAAGCTGTGGCTGCCGCAGCCCTGGGAGTGTCCAAGGCCAGGCTGGAGCAACCTGGGACAGTGGAAGGTGTCCCTGCCCATGGCAGGGGGTGGCACTGGATGGGCTTTAAGGTCCCTTCCAACCCAAACCATCCTGTGATTTTATGATTCCATGGAATAGGGTCTAGTTTTTGGGAAAAAAACCCCGCTTCCCATATTTCTGTTGGATATTCTGGATGTTAACTCTGACCCAGCCCAGGGCAGAGCTCCCTGAAGCTGCTGCTGTCCCAGCTGATGTGCCCACAGCCATTGTGTTGTCTCTTTGGTGGATGTGCAGCGAACTCTGACCCCTGGATTGGATGGAAAAGCCAAGACTGGTCAAAAATATCCTAAATTTTCCAGTCCAAG